TTGTTTTTATCTTTTAAAAAACTCTTAAGACAATGTTATCAAACGAAATTTCTAGACTAGTATGCAATAATTGAACAATATTTAATAACTTCGTATTGTATTGAAGCATCCTTAATTAGTCATTTTCATTAATGGTTGCCTTCCATCTCATGCTAAAATCATAAACAACAACTATTTTAATCTCGAGCACTTACAACTTGTTTTTAAAATTCAAAAGTCATAATTATTATTTGCAATTCTCTTAAATTGTAAAATTATTAGATACAATATTCATTAAAAAGAGGAGAGAGAGAAAAAAGATCATAAACACTTACCAAAACTCTGATGACAAAACCACTAATACTATTAAAAAGATCTTAATGAAACAAATCCAATAATACCAAGAAAAGTTATCAATGGTGATCGAGATGGCCCCCGAGTGATCTAAAGAAAAGTAAGTTCTGATATTTTTGGATGACTCGTGTGACATACTTTTATCAATAATGACAGCCTTCCTTTGTATTGTTTAATTCATTTTAATAAAATCTTTTTAAAAATATTAATAATATTATTATAGAGTTTTGATATGCAAATTTTTTTTTCTTTTCTTTCTCTTTCTATAAGCTCTTTTTTATTTTTTTTATTGAATCTTGTATCCACAATTTAAAAGAGTAGTAGATAACACGTGTGAAATTTTCTACTATGTAATAATAATAATAATAATAACCCCTCATCTTCTCATGCCATTTTTTTGAAAACAGCTAATTGCAATGATTTTTCAATCCACATCGTTCTTGAACAAAAGCACATGGAAACATGGCAAAATGCTTCAAATTTGTTGGCAGAAAAGGCAACTTGCACAAATCTTTAACCAATAATTCACCTCTCTTTCACACATGGGAAGCCATGTGCCTGAGCAGCTCACAGTTCAAAGCAGCCCTGCAGTAGGGACAACCTTCCCAGATGTGTCGACCCTTTTCAGATTCAAAATGCCCTCTTTTCAATGCTTCCATGAGCTCTAGGGCATGTCAAAATGCCCCACAGGCTGGTAATTGAATGGCTATTTAGCTATCTGACATGCATGGCCAATTATTTAAGGATTTGACATTGTGCTATGCTCAGTCCTTGTGCATTCCGAAGGAATATAATAAAAATGGAGAGGATGGACCTCCATGTTCCTCCTCTCTGTTGGGCTCATTTCGATGGTCCCAGATGTGCCGATGACGGGCGCATATTTGATTTGAGTTGAATCCCGAAATGCTCTTTTGAGCTGTGATTTCAGGGATCAGGATAGGCTAGCCAGCAAGCGTGCATGCAACAATCTTAGCCTGTTTGATATTATGAGTTTAAATCCTGGGATTAGCATATAGAAAAATTATTAAATTTCTTGGAATATATCAAAACAATGTGGAGAATATATTCTTAAAATCGCCTGGTTAAAAAATTAATTTCAGTCGATACGGAGGCTGGTTTTGTTATGTCTTTATAGTGGAAAAAAACCCACTCAACAATTTTTCCAAAACCATCACCATTGGTGTCGAGTGTGCACTCCACATCACTGCAGAAGAAATTCTATTCTAAATTGAATTCAAACACTATTGCTAATCCTTCCAAGTTACCGGTGTTTGTCTATTAATGAAGCACTTCCAACAGCGGTCACCTAGGCCACAGTTCATATGACTTTTCACGACAGCAATCCATAATAAAAAAAATTCGTTGAGAAGATAAATTTAGATATAAAATTAAAAACTACATAAAAAATTAAAAATTAAAATAATAAAGATTAAAGTAGTAAAAACAAAATAGGGCAAATTAAGATTAAATAATAATAAAAAATTAAAAATTAAAATACTAAAGATTAAAGTAGTAAAAAAAAAATAGGGCAAATTAAGATTAAATAATAAAATCAAAAAAATTAAAATTTAATATGAGTATCAAGATTAAAAACTAAAAATTAAAAAAATAAAAACCAAATCTAAAAATAAAATAAACTGAAGAACAACACTTAAATCGAGAAGGTGAGGCATAAAAATAATAATAATAGGGTTCTTAATGTCAAATCAGTGATCCATTGAAGGCATACATCATTTAGTCATGTTTAAGGGTAAAATAGTAATTTTAATATAATTTATATATATTTTATTTATATTTAAATTAAAATTATGCATTTATAATATACAAATCATTTAAAATTCTAATTTTTTTTATATTTAATATTAATTATTTTAACAATATTAAAGTATAGATATATCCCTATCCCACCAAACAATAACAAAAAAGCTAAGATGATAATGAAATAAAATAACCCTCAACCAAAGCTTCTTGACCTCATGAGCCTTTCTGGTAGCTGACCGTGTATTTAAAGTTGAGAAGGCAAAAATGGCACTATGCTATGCCTAATTTTTATATATATATATATTTTAGTTTTTTACTGTTAATAAAAAAATAAAAAGAACCTATTGCTCTCGTTAGCCGAGCTAAATTTTTATTTCATTAAAGACAGAATAATGACTTAATAGTCACAAACTAAAGAGAATCCGAATATAGAGCTACAGTAAAAAAAACCCTTTTAATTTATTTATTATTCATGTCTAAGATTCGATATTGTCTAATTAAAGCTCCCCGTGAGGGTATAATTACGTCCGGGCCACCCCATGATAAGGACACTCATTTCTATTAACCCCGGAGAAAGCAAAGCTCCATAATTGCACCCATGATCAGATCGCTGCCCAGCTACATAATATATTTATATATATATTATATAGTTCATGAAATCCCTAGATAATATTTGTTACATCTTGACAATTTTTACTGGCATGCACCATGATGTAACCTCGTCAACACATGCACTTTCCTTTGAAAAGGATGAGGATAGAGTCGAACTCGATCGTGTTAGTTGAGTTGCAGTTGCTTTGACACGAAGAGAAGCAGAAGAGTTCCCTTTAACAAGACGCCTTTTATGTCCTACATGCGAAAGCAGCCCATACACATATTATTAAACCACAGTTATTCTAGCTAGAATCCTCTTAAAGCCTCTGTATACGTACTAGCAGGCCAAGTGAAAGGGAAAAGAGAGAGAGAGGATGATGATAGCTAGCGTATATCAAACGCACCCAGGCCATGACTGTCTGCTCATACAATACAATACAAGCAACTTAATGATAATAATTAATTCCTTGTAACCAAACCCATAAGGACATCACGCATCTTCATCCATAGGGTATAAAACAAAAGATAAGGGCCAGAATGAATGATGATATTATTGAAGATAGATAAATCGAATAGACACTCGTTTATTTCCCACGTCTGTAGCTTGCGCCAACCAAAAAACAAAAAGATTTCAACTTAAAAAAAATAATATCTAGATTGTTGGATTTTTTATTTGACATTGTTATTAAATTTATTACAACAATTTAAATTTAACAACTTTTAACCCATCTAATTCTTTTCTCAGAATTCTAAACTGAATCGTTTGGGAGGAGTTATGTTAATATGATTTTGTTTACTAAGAAGATTCAGAGGAAGAAAAATTGATTCGGTTAATCTTAGATCAGGTTAATTTTTTATTTTATTACATAATAAGAAATTCAAAAATTAATTTACCCTTAACCCAATATTAAATAATAAAAAGAAATAAAAAACCCTATTATAATAAAGCCCATGCCTGACCTAATATTTTTATATTTTGTTTGCTCTTTTTTGTTGTGAAAAAACACATAGATCACTAGTTATTTATAACATGAAACATGATACTATACCCAGCAAACCTTAAATTAAAATACAAATAATGATACTATCAAACTATATAAAATAAAATTAATCTAGATCACGAGATGCTGTTTTTTTGAAATGAAATCAAAGTTGAAAAATATAAAAGGTGACGCAAGTTGATGGCAGGCTAATTTTCAAGTCTTGCACATAAAAACCACAAACATCTTCTTGCCGTGCACGGGACTTTCATAAGAAAGACCAGGTCGGGCTAAGTGTCATTAACTTTTAATTTTAAAAATATAATATGTTTAAATTACATCATTAATTTCAGGTTGAGAATTTGTATAAAAAACCATAATTATACCTTTGAAATGAATTGATTAAAAAGGAAAAAAGTAAGCTTAGTTGGGAATAAGAACTCGGATATTAAAACATAAAAGAAAGCAGATCTTGTCTTTAGAATTTAGATCGTCCAGAGTCAACAAGGTATGATTCTCTTCGGCTGCAGCATCGATGAGTTGAGGGAGCAAGTTTTATCCCGTGATTTCTTAATTTATTCTTTTTTTTCTTTTAATTCACCTATAAAAATATATTTGAATCATCTCATATATTATAAAATGATTTTACGAAATCACCGGTATGATTATTATTTTTTAAATAATGATATTGATATAAAATGAAACAAGCATACCTCCTTTAATAGCTAGAATAATCTTTCAACAATCTTTGACAAATAGTTATTTATTTCTTACGTTTTTTTTAAGATATAAGAGAGTCTTTATTTATTTATTTATTTATTTCCGTTCTTATATTTATTTTTTCTCAAGCTAAAAACGAAAGTGATAACAAACTGCCCTTTAATTAAGCCTATCAAGTGCATGTAGTTACTGGTTTCCATATTTTTGTGGATGTCCACAGACTTGGACCCACCTTGTTTGGCAATTAACCCTTCATTAATTAACTCAAGCTTAAGACAAGCTAATCTAGCAATACGAGGTGCTCGGCCCCTTTTTACCCTTCATTAAGACAGCATGCAGTTTTAGATCTCCAGCCAGTTTGACCTCGAATCTAGGTAATTTGAAGTGTAAGCCTGATTGTATTTTAATAAAAAAAAAAATTAACTTGATATGATCCGTTTAACCCGACAGCCTAATTAAAGCCGTTTATTTTTTTTCTTTAAAAAGTTTTTTTTACGTGATATTATTTTAATTTTTTGTAAAAAAAAAAAAAAATCCGTTGTCTAAGATCTATTATGAATTGAAAACTACGACAAAAGATCATGAAAATTCTCGAGGCTGTTTCAGTCAATCGAGTTTTCAAAATCTCGTATGGCAGACCAGGACAAGCATAGAGACCGAGACCTCCGCCTTGTTTCTTTCTCCTCCATCACCACCATATCACCTTCATACCATAATTATCTTTACCTTCCTTTCTGACAGAACCAGAACTCGACCAAACCCAATTAAAAATTCTAACGATTATTAGCCCTGAGAGAAAAAAATTGATGCAAAGACCGTATGCGTCTTGCACCTTATGTCATTGTTTATTGTAGGTGTAAAAACGAAATGCCACCAAACCTCAACACCTACAATCTCTGTCCCTTAATCTCCACTTCATTACCCCAATTACCAAGAATGAAAACCCCACCACAGCTGCATCCTAAAAGCCCCTTTTGATGATCTTCCTTAAAGCTTCTGTTTCATGCCCTCTTATTTTTTGTGGGTTTTAAATGAAACATGGTATTGGAGGGTAAAAGACCCACCATGAGCAATAACAGGAGGGGGTTTTATGTTAGAATGAGACTATTACACAGGCATGCTGGACTTCAACAAGAGAAGAAGAAGAATCTTTGTTTCAAATATTACAAATGGCTTCTTTGGTTTTCTCTTCTTCTATATTTCCTTAGCTCTTGCTTCTTCACCCACAAACCCATTCCCCTCTCCAAAACCCATGTCTCAAAATCTAAAACTGTTGTTTCCCGTGCCCTCTTTGAATCCTCCAACTCCACTTTCATTCAACAGGGCAACAACATCAATCGAGGTATGTTGTGATTATCGCTACAGAACAGCTCATTCATGTCTTTTAGACCAATGATTTTAATTGTTTCCTGCTTTGTTTTGTATAATTACAGGATTATTAAAGGATTTGAAGGTATACATATATGAGTTGCCATCAAAATACAACACGGACTGGCTAACAAATGAGCGGTGCAGCAGCCATTTGTTTGCATCAGAAGTTGCCATTCATAAAGCACTATCAAACAGTCTTGATGTACGGACGTTTGACCCATACGAAGCTGATTTCTTCTTTGTTCCTGTTTACGTGTCCTGCAATTTCAGCACCGTTAATGGGTTTCCTGCAATTGGTCATGCAAGGTCCTTATTATCATCTGCGGTGCAGTTCATTTCCTCTAACTATCCATTTTGGAACCGCTCTCAAGGATCCGATCATGTCTTTGTTGCCTCTCACGATTACGGCGCTTGTTTCCATGCCATGGTATGTTTCGAAAGCCTTTCAAAACCATCAAAAGTTTATGTTTCAAAAGCCTTTCAAAACCATCTAGAGTTTCGAACCTTGATGTTTATACCATCTTTTGATGTGTATTTTGATTTGGTTTTTGGCTATGTCTTGTGTTCTTGTTAAGGAGGAGAGAGCTATGGAAGATGGGATCCCAGAGTTTTTGAAGAGGTCGATCATATTGCAGACTTTTGGTGTCAAATTTAACCATCCATGCCAAGACGTTGAGAATGTCTTGATACCACCTTATATCTCGCCGGAAAGCGTACGGACAACCCTCGAGAAGTATCCGCTGACCGGGCGGCGGGACATTTGGGCCTTCTTTAGAGGCAAAATGGAAGTGCACCCCAAGAACATTAGTGGACGATATTACAGCAAGTAAATAAAAAATCAATTTCCTAATCAATCAATTTTCAAATTAGATAATTACTTAACTGCCCTTGACAATTTTCTGTTCCTTTATTTTTTTCGCTGATCTTATTTGTTTGAATTTGTTTCAGGAAAGTGAGGACGGTGATATGGAGAAAATACAGCGGTGACCGGAGGTTTTATTTGCAAAGGCACAGGTTTGCCGGTTACCAGTCAGAAATCGTCCGGTCAGTGTTCTGTTTATGCCCCTTGGGATGGGCCCCATGGAGCCCAAGGCTGGTGGAATCTGTTGCCTTAGGGTGCGTGCCGGTCATAATTGCGGATGGCATCCGGTTGCCCTTCCCCACCGCTGTCCGGTGGTCGGAGATATCCCTAACCGTGGCTGAAAAGGACGTGGCCAACCTAGGAACTCTGCTCGACCAGGTGGCAGCAACCAATTTGTCAGCCATTCAGAAAAACTTGTGGGGCCCAGACGTTAGGCGGGCCCTCCTTTTCAATGATCGAGTGCAGGAAGGCGATGCCACGTGGCAGGTCCTTTATGCCTTGGCGCAGAAGCTGGACAGGTCGTACAGAACCGTGAGGCTTCCAAACTAATAGTGGTTCGACACGTGGAAGGTGCTTTTTTGGGGACCCAAGTGCCAGCTAAGGAGGTCCGCTTTCGCCAGCTAAGAAACATGGAGCACAGCTGGATTTTTAATGTTTTTCTTGGACTGATCAAAGCTACGGGGATTTTTAGAGGGAACGAGGTGGGGTCAAGCTTATGCAGAAATTAAGTTTATTTGCAGAATTTTTTTTGTGGTCCCGTGACTTGCTTGGTGAGTTGGCTGACTGTGATTGATGGGGCCGAACGGTACATATAATTGTAAAGAAACACTGTAGATGATGGCGAGGTGTTTATATTTTGAGAAATAATGAGAGAATAAATGCAAAAATAGGCCCTGTAAATACTCTAATAAAGAGTCGAAGTCGATTGCAATTTACCGAAAACCGAACCCATCTCAAACCTACTATTTTATTTGTTTTTTGAAATCAAATTTATGTAATTTTTTTATTCATTTATATTTAATCCTTGACAACGTCGTGGTAAGTATGATAAAGAGCTGATATGACTTTGTTGATATTTATTTATATGACGGTCGCAGTACATTCATTGCAGCTTTTGAGATGTTTTAGCACCGGTGATTTTTGGTTTTTTTTTTTTTTATTAAATCGGTGGTATTTCTATGCGTCAAGATTAAGAAAGTTCTGCTAGCTTGAAGCCATTTTATGAGTAAATGCATAGCATTAAATACCTACCTATTAGATAGGGTTTAAAATGGGACATTTACATTAAATAATGTTAGAGCCCCAGATAGCAAGATGGGACCTTGTAAGAGTAACATCCCATGAGGTTAACGATAGCTAAGAGGGGCACGCACGTGAGTGGAAAATCTAATTTTAAAACTTTTTCGACTTTGGTGTAAAGTGCATTTTTCGATGCAAGGACAGGGGGGGTGACAATGAAGTGTTAAAAGACTCGGCAGATGAGGCGTGTCAGAGCTCTAAAGGCAATAGTGGGGCGGCAGTGGAGGGTGTCAGGTGGTGGTCACGGTTCACAGATACGCTGTAAACGAGCCACACCGGACATCGTTTCTCCTATTTCTTTAATGCCTAGAGCTGTTTGGAAGTATGGTTGCTGTTGCTTTTTAAATAGTTTTTCATGTCAAAATACATGCAATCAATATTTTTTTATTTTTTAAAAATTATTTTTAATATCAGCACATCAAAATGATTTGAAAACATTAAAAACATATTAATTTTGAAGTTAATAAACAAATGCATGAAGCTGCTGCCCAGTGGGCACTGCGAAGGTGTGCAATAAGTGGCGGACTTCAATTTCTGAACTGTTTGGTAGGCATATTTATAACACCGACCCATGGTTAACTCGGTCAGCTGGATCACTTTACATTATATTTGAAACTTTTTGAATTAAATTTAATTAAAAGTTTTTAATAAAAATATCGTTTTAAATAAAATTTAATATCTAAAAATGCTATAAAAATAAAAAAACATAATTTAATATTAAAATCAACTTTTTTTAAATACCCATCTACTTTTTTTAAATAAGATGGAAATAATGATAGTAATATAAAAATAAATTGAATTTTATCTCTTTCAAATATTTATTAATTATATTCAAATAAAATAATATAATTTTTTTATTTTTTTACAAAAACAATATCATTTTTAGGGGCTTGAAAAAAACTCAAAATATCATTCCCGTAAAAGAAAAAAAAAATCAGTTTCTTCATTTACCCATCCCGGACCAAGGCTACCCGAGGCTGGGCCAGGTCTTTTATTAGGACGTGTTGAATTCCTATTTGAGTGTCGCAAATAAATTAGTCATGAACGGAATAAATACAAAAAAAATATATATATATTAAACAAAAAAATGCAAATAAATGAACAATTTTATGATCCAATTAAGCAATTCTCAAAGATGAAGGGAACATAAATGACATGCTTGTTTGGGCTAAAAAACCAACTCGTCGAAACGGGGAAAGACTGTCGAAGAAGACAAGACATCCTACTAACTAAGCCACATGAAGAGGGAACGTCGCTATTGCCTAACTGGATCAGCCCGTCATCGAACCTAAAGCCTAAAGAGACTCACAAAACCATAGTTTTAGATAATTAACCAACTCATTAAGATTCTATTTAAAAACGCGATGGAAATCCATGTTTTATAAAAATTTAATTTAAAAGGACAAGACATCTATTCTTAAAAAAAAAACAAGAAGAAAAAGAAGGACTGTATACTTAAGGAGGAAAGGTGAACATCTATCCTCTGCAACCTTGTAGAAAAAGATGATAATGGGAAAATAATGCTGTCAGTGTTTCTACTGGAAATCAATAATGGAGATTAGAGATAAAAGTCTATTCTTTTCGAACATTCAGCTAACTAAAAGAGTACAAGACAACAATATTTGATATTTCACTTAAATTACAGGCACGAGTCAGTTTTTTTTTTAATATAATAAACAAAATATTCAAGTTTTATATGATTATTAAATATTATTAAACTTGGCTCAACCAATTAATTTTAAACCTTCTAATCAGGCACGATACATATTTCACTTCAAACTAAATGTTATAGAAGTTACTTCAATATAACCTCGTCAAGTTAACCAATTCAAAAACTTAACTAACTTGTAAAAAATAAGTAAAAAATAAAATAAAAAATAAATAAAAGATAAAATTAATGAATAAAAAAACCTCTTTATCTAACTTTTTATATAACTTGAGTTTAAAACTAGATTATATAATAATTATTTTAATATAATTTAATTAATTTGACTGAGTTAAAGATAACTCAAATAACTAATAAAAAATAATGAAATTTTTAAAAAAGTAATCTTAAAACGTAAAGAAAACAACTATAAAAGGTAAGGTAATGCTGGTAATTTAAAAAAAAAACCTACGCCTCATCAGCGTCTGTGAGGCTCAGGTTTGAAGACCTTTTTTCCCAGTTGCATGCAGGTTTCTAGGTTCATGTTTTATAAAAAATTAATTTTTTTATTTAATTTAAAAGGACAAGACATCTATCCTTAAAAAAAAAAGAAGAAGGACTGTATACTTAAGGAGGAAAGGTGAACATCTATCCTCTCGCCTCATTCGTAGATAGTAACTTGACTAAATCAAAGATAACTAATAAAAACTAATAATGAAGAATATAATTGAGAAAAAGAATAATAAATTTGAAAGAATTAAAAAAAAGAAGGAAAAAGGTTGAATTTAAAAAAAAAAAAAAAGCTCAATTTCACGTGAATCTTCATAAGCATTTTAAGCTTATTATGGCTGGTCTAAGAGTATGGTAGTAATTTTTTTAAAATATTTTTTATTTAAAAATATATTAAAATAATATATATTTTTATTTTTTAAAAAGTTATTTTTAAATTAATATATTAAAATAATTTTAAAATATAAAAAATATTAATTTAAAGTAAAAAAATAAAAAAAATAAAATTTTAAAAAAAGTAATCTTAAAACGTAAAGAAAACAACTATAAAAGGTAAGGTAAGGTAATGCTGGTAATTTTTTTAAAAAAAAAAAACCTCCGCCTCATCAGCGTCTGTGAGGTTCAGGTTTGAAGACCGTTTTTCCCAGTTGCATGCAGGTTTCTAGGCGTGTCGTCCTCTTATTGAAGTGGCTTTGGTGCTTCAAAGCTTGTAAGGAGGATTTTTTGATGTCTGTTGATCATGGCTTGGCTCTTCTTTCATTTGAGGCTCCTCTGCTGCCCCGAGGCTTTCTTCTCTTGCGATGTGGCTCTTTTGTTTGATAGGAGGGCGGGCATTCCATCAATACTGCATTCCATTATGGTTCATTAAATTAAATGCACACTCGCTGGACGTGTACTTTCTCTTCTCCTTTTGGTGTTTTGGAGGCTGCCTATTTTTATCCTGGGTTGCATTATGACGATTGCCGATTTTGTTTATGGTGTGACATTGAACGGTTGGTGTCTAGCAGCTTAGTTATAGCCTCCCAGATCTCTTTCTTCTCCTTTTCCAGTTATGGTTATGTTAGGAATTGACCACAATTGGGTTTTACTTATTCTTTGGTTTCATTGCCATTTGTATGTGGATTTTATGGTTTTCTCGTGCCTTCTTGTTTGAGCGGCTTCTGACATTGCTTCATTCTTTGATTTCTCTGAGAACCATCACAACTGAGAAGTCATTGGTTTGCAGGAGATTATATAAAAAATTTCATCCCTTTTTTCTTGGTTTTGTTGATGTTGGTATGCGAGTTTTTTTGTTTTTTCATGTCCCCTTATTTGAGTGGCTTCTGACATCCATTTGTACTGTGATTCTTTGAAGGCCATTACAATTGAGAGGTCATTGGTTTGCGAGAGGGTATATATCTTTCCTTCCTTTTAGAAAAAAACACTCTTTTTTATACATTGTTTTTTTTGTTTCACACTGCTTTAGTTTCTGTACTTTGAATCTTTAATCTTGCGGTTGCTTTTTTTTGGTCGAACACAAGTTTACGTAGGTGGGAGAAATCAATTGTGGTGGTTTTGAAACACTTAGAGGGGATAAAACACACTCTTTTATTTCAAGAACAAAGCTTACAATAACATAAACAAAAGCTTACAACAACCCC